GTGCTGGTTCTGAGGAGACGGGAGCTGGAGACACTGGTTCTGCGGAGTCCACTCCGCCTCCCCACCGCCACGACACGCGTCTCCAGGCGGCCCGTCGGCGTGAGCGTGAGGAGCAGGTGCTGTTGGAGCGGGAGCGGCAGGAGTTGCGGCTGTCAGAATCCCAGCCACTAACCACTGGGATAAAAGGGCTTGTTAAGTAGCGGGTTAGTGCGCCCATAACCCCCCAGGCCAACGTGCCTGCAACCCTTCCCTAGGATCAATCGGGGATCACCAGTGGACCTCTGACAGCGGCGGTTGGACCTGCTGGAGCAGCAGCAGCAGAAGCAGCAGCAGCAGCAGAAGCAGCAGCAGCAGCAGCAGCAGCAGCAGCAGCAGCAGCCGCAGCAGCGGACACCGCCGCCGCAGCTGCGACCACAGAAGCTCCCTCTGGAGCGGCAGTAGTTCCCACCCGTGAGTGGCCTTCGGGCCCTTGGTCTTCCCTCCTCTCCTCCTGTTCACACTCCGTCCCCTCCAGCGTTTGGTCCCACGTTTCCTCCTCCTGACGCCAGTCCGGCGGTCTGGTCTTCTCCTCCACCGCAGTCTCCTCCACCGCGGTCTCCTCCGCCAGTTGTCACACACTCTCGTGTCCGTCCCTGTCCTCCGCGTGCTCGTACCTCTTCTCCCGTTCCCGACCTCCGCACTTCCCGCTTTTGTTCGTCTCTTCGTCGTCCTCCTCCTGAGTCCGTTCTCCCGTCTCCTCCTCCGTCCTCTCTCCCTGTCCCTCCTACTCCTATCACTGACTACTACCGTGCTGTTCGTCCGGTTGTCTCCCGTGTCCTCGCCACTCTTGTCACCGACTCTCGTTTCCCTCCGTCGTCTGTCTCGGCTCTCACTGCCGCTGTCGCTGAGTTTGCTGCCGCCAGCCACCTTGACTACACCACCCGTGTGGTGCCAGCTCCTCCCTCCCGTCCTCTGTCCGTCGGGGGTGAGTTTGCCCTCGACTGTGACGTCCTAGAGGACAGAGAGTCTGAGCTGGAGTAGTGGGCAGCCGCTTCTCCCTCTGTCTGTGCCATGCTGCTATCCCCTGAGGGAGACCCTGACGCCCTTGACATACCGACTCCTTGTACTTACCGCAAGGCAGTGTCAGGGGCGTGGGCCTCTCAGTGGAAAGCGGCTATGGCCTCGGAGTTAGCGTCTTGGAGATACACAGGCACCTACGTCGACGCAGTTCCCCCTCCCAGGGCGAACATAGTCGATGGCATGTGGCTCTTCAAGGTGAAGCGGCCGCCTGGTTCACCGCCTGTGTTCAAGGCGCGCTACGTGGCTAGGGGTTTCAGTCAGCGTGAGGGAGTTGACTTCTTCCAGACCTTCGCCCCGACCCTGAAGATGACTACTCTTCGGGTGTTACTGCACGTAGCAGCACAGCGAGAATACGAGCTGCACTCCCTTGACTTCTCCACTGCGTTTCTCCAGGGCCGACTAGACGAGGATATCTGGCTGCGCCGCCCTCCTGGCTTCACTGACACCTTCCCACCTGGGACCTAGTGGAGCCTGAGGCGGCCAGTCTACGGTCTCCGCCAGTCGCCCCGCGAGTGGCACGACACTCTTCGCTCCACGCTTCGTGACCTTGGGTTTCGTCCTTCCTCTGCCGAACCGTCGCTGTTTGTTCGCACTGGTTCCACTCCTTTCTTTATACTAGTGTACGTCGACGACTTGGTCTTTGCCACAGCAGACAGGGCAGCTCTGGCTCAGGTGAAGTCCGAACTGCAGAAGAGACACAAGTGCACTGACCTAGGAGAACTGCGGCGCTACCTTGGCCTGCAGATCACCAGGGACAGAGCCGCTCGCACCATCACACTGACTCAGTCACACATGGTGCAACAGGTCCTTCAGCGGTTCGACTTCCTGTTCTCCACACGCAGCCCACACCTCTTGCTGTTGACCACAGACTCACTGGCCCCTTTCCGGACGAGCCCTTTGAGTCCAGTGGTCCCTACGCAGAGCTGGTGGGCTGCCTCATGTACCTGATGACTTGTACTCGGCCGGACCTCGCCTTTCCCCTCAGCATACTTTCTCGCTTTGTTGCGACTGGGAGACACCGTGTTGTCCACTGGACAGCTGCTGTGAGGGTGGCGAAGTACCTGGCGACTACATCAGGCATGGGGCTTGTGCTTGGAGGGACTCAGCCAGTGGCGTTGACTGGTCACTGCGACTCTTCCTACACTGACGACGTGGAGACTCAGCGCTCGACTCAGGGTTACTGCTTCAGTCTGGGAGCTGGTGCTGTGTCGTGGAGGTCTACACGGTCGTCGTCTGTGGCTACTTCCAGTGCAGAGGCAGAGATCTACGCTGAAGCCATGGCGGCACAGGAGCTTCGCTGGTTGACCTTCTTGCTCGCCGACCTTGGTGAGCGGCCTCGCTCTGCACCGATCTTGTACGCTGACAACAAGGGCATGATCCTCCTCTGTCGAGAGCCTCGACTGGAGAGCAAAGTGAAGCATATTGACGTGAGGTACTTCCTCCTGCGAGAGTTGCAGCGACGCGGCCAGGCACGCCTGGACTTTGTGGCCTCAGAGGCCAACACTGCAGACGTCTTCACCAAGGCCTTGGCGCTTGGTGACCACCACAGGTTCTGTGTGCAGTTGGGGCTTGTTGAGGTAGGCCCTCGGTTGCTGTAGTCTTGTTGCTTACTCTACTTGTTGTACTTTCCAATATATATACTATTGAACTCTTGAACTGGCCTTATGGCCGCTTGCTTGCGCTCGGAATTTGTGTGGTGTCCTTGAGATCCACCCTGAGCTTGCTTCGCTTCTTGCCTTGACTGGTCTTGTGACCGTTTGTTCACCTTGCTTGCTCTGATGTCCCTCACTTAGCCTATGGGGGTGTGTCAAATCTTAATCTTGTGATAGGCTGCAGTGAGGTACTCTCTAATGAGTACAGCTTTGGTAGGTTTCCTATTTGTATCCTTCCCAACCCTAATTCAGCCATTCCGCTGCACTCCGTTCTTGAGACAAAGGAGCAGTGTGCGGTCTAACGACGTTGGAATGGGCGACGGAGACGACGGCATTTTCTTGCGTGACTCGCATTCGCATGGTGATTCATGTTGGAATTGAGGTTAATTCGGGTTGCTCCAATAAACATATGTAGTGATACATCTACAATATAGTAGTGTAGAATACATTGGTTGGGTTGGAAGAACTTGTGGTGTACACTCTATAGAGTGGACCACCTCCAGGCCCTCAGATTCACTTTTAGGGATGTTGATGCATCAGGGTCCCTGTGAAAAAAGGCCTGATTTTTCAGGGTTCCTAAAAAAAAAGGCATGAATTCTCAGGGTTCCTAAAAATTGAAGCCCGAATTTTGAATCGCATAATTCAGGCCAGCCATTCTGCGTTTTTAAAGAGAGTAGCCTTCACAAACAGGCCAGCCGAGGGATTCGAACCGGGAACCTTACCAATCGTTATCAAGTTCCCTAAACATTGAGACAATTCATCCTGTCAGCCGTCTGTGTGCTACTGTTTTGTAATTCATAATGTGAAAATGTTGGTTGACTGAATCTCTCGGGTGTTTTTCGGGAAGGATTCGGAATGTGCATTCAGTGTACACTTCGATAAAAGTCTGAAACATCAGTGTTAGCTATGAAGTAAAGGCTGAAAAAATCAGTGTCACAAAAATCTCAACACTGAAAAATCAGTGTAGGTACACAAAACTAGGCTGAAACTCAGGAATTTCAGGGGAAAATTCCTGATATCGTAGGGCCTGACCACCTCCCAAACCCTATAGTTTAGGGTTCTCTCTTGTTGGAACTTCACTTCTTGGAAACCACTTTGGTTCTAGCATGGTTCATGCCCAAGTGGGCTCCTAAGATTCCTAGGCTTTAGGAGGAGGTTCTAAGACTACTAAAGCTTCCGTTAGTAGCTTAGTCCATTCTAACAATTCAGAATACCGTATGTTCTTGTAAACTGGTCCATTCGAACGGCGCGGTGGTTGAGTCGACGCGCGACATTTTCCTGACTTGCGTAAAGTCTGCCTAGTAAACTGAGGAATAGCACCGCTTCATTTCGTTGTACGGTAGTTGTTTTGCACAGCTTACTCCTCTTGGACGCTTCGATTGTGTTTGAAGTGCTACTGTAGACACTTTTCATGTAATGTTCGAATTGTTTCAGTCTTGTAACACGGTGTCACAGCACGAACTCATTCGTCTGCCGACTTCGTTTTCGCTCAGCCTCGAGCAGCAAACATATGTTCATATGGGCCCACGCGGAACCGCACACAGGAGACACGTCCTGAGGGTGTCAAACCAAAAGCCTTGGGTCGGTCGTGGGTCTCCTAGCAGATTATTTCTCGGTCAGGATCCTGCGTTTCTTCAATTTGAGGTTCGAAGCTTGCGGGATCCACAAGATTCTAAGGGCGTGTAAAATTGTTACGACCAAACGCTATGGTCGATAATTTGGGCGTTTCTGGCGATTGCGAGGAATTAGGGTTACGCTGATGCGAATAGTCACCCCGGTCTGACTCATTTTCAGTGGTAATTTCGGAACAGAGGTTTTCGCACCGCTTTTTGGGACATGATTTAACTGATGCTCAGCGGGGGTATATGTTTTTTCCCGTTTACCTAAACCCACTTCTTTGGTAAACACTCTAGTCTAGGCTTCAGATCCCCCGTATTCCACACCCCTTTCGAATGTAGTAAGGGAATCGAAACATTTCCTTTTTAATTAAGAGGGTGGTTTGGGGTGGGTGCTCCAAATGCTGACGAATTTGTTGGCGGGTTTCGCTTAAGTGTTACATATTTCGCACTCGCCAGCAACGCCCAAATGATCGACCATAGCGTTTGGTCGTAACAATTTTACACGCCCTAAGCCCCACGTCGTGCACTGTCAAGGTTCGAAGCTTGCTGTACACGTCAAGGATTACTGTGCACGGAAGCCTAAGTCCCACGTCGTGCACTGTCTCGGCCACCGCAACACGGTTTCCCTCCACAGCTCGCTCTGGTAGGCAACCCGCGCGAAGCGCCGACCATGGCGCTGCACTTGCCGTCCCACGCTCTCACTGCGCGCTTGTCGGGATTCACGGAGGCGCGTTTGTTCGGTCTACGTGTGACGTGTATATCCCCTGCGCGCACAGCTGCGCACTTTCTGACTCTCGCCTCTCCGCCTTGCGCGCAGCCCGCATGTGCGCCAATCGCGGGTCCTCGTGCGCAAGCGGGCACGGCGCAGGCGGATGCTGGGCGGGCGGATTCGGCGACAGGCGCAGCGCAAGGCGCAGTGGCGGGCGCAGCAGCAGGCGCAGTCCGCGCTGCAGCAGGCGACGGTGACAGAGGCGCGAGAGAGGCGGCATGGGCGCAAGAAGGACGGGCGGCGGCGCGGGGAGGAAGGGCGGCCCCGGAGTCGGAATCGAGCTTGGAGCCCGGCAGCGTTGACGGCTTCCACTCGCTGGGGCTGCCGGCGGGTGTGACGGAGCGCGTGGCGTCGTTAGGGCTGCTCGAGCCCACCGACATCCAACGACGCGCCGTGCCCGCGCTCATGCAAGGTGCGCGCTGCACTGAAGCTTAAACCCCGAAATCCAAAACCTTAAACCTTGAACCGCTGCTTGCCATCGCGCAGTGGCTGTAAATCATTTGCAGTGCCTCCAACTTCATTCTCCGCTCCGCTCCGTTTCCTCCATGTCTCCCATCCATTTCCTTCCCTTCCCTTTGACCCTTTTCCTTCACATCCTTCTCCCCTATCCCCTTTCATGAACCCCTATGCTCTTCCCTCCTCGCCCCCCTTTTCCCTTCTGCCTCTCCTCATTCATCCCCGCAACATGCTCCACTCCTCCCCATCGTTCTTCAATCTACTCGTCCCTCCCACCCACCACATGCATGCCTCCTGCGCCCCGTTCCCACGCCGCTTCTTCTCCCCTCTCCTCCCTCCCTTCCCACCTCCCCCCATCTTCCCCTCTCCCCTTTCCCCTTCCCCCCACTCCCCGCCTCCTCCCCTCCCGCTTCCCTCGTACCAGGCACGGACGCGGTGCTGCAGTCGTTCACGGGGTCGGGCAAGACGCTCGCCTATCTGCTGCCCATCCTCGCCTCCGTGGGCCCTCTCAGCCGCCCCCCTGGCCACGCCGACACCACTGGGGCTGCTGGGGCCGGGGGAGGGGAGGGGGATGGGGACGGCAAGGGCAAGAGAGGCAAGAAGGGGCGCGCAGGCGGAGGGGGAGGGGGCGGGGGAGGTGGGGTGGAGGCGGTGGTGGTGGCGCCGTCACGGGAGCTGGCGATGCAGATCGTGAGAGAGGCGGAACGCGTGCTGGGGGAGAAGCATAAGGTGGGGGGAAAGGGGGGGGGGGGGGAAGGGGTGAGGAGCATAAGGTGGGGGGAAAGGGGGGGGGGGGAAAGGGGTGAGGAGCATAAGGTGGGGGGAAAGGGGGGGGGGGGGAAAGGGGTGAGGAGCATAAGGTGGGGGGAAAGGGGGGGGGGGGAAGGGGTGAGGAGCATAAGGTGGGGGGAAAGGGGGGGGGGAAGGCACAAGGTGGTGCGAGGAGCATAACATTTGCTGCAAGCAGCTCGTATCCTCCTTTCTTGAGCCACAGCCGCTTCCATACCCCCTTTTCACACATCCCCTCTCATCCCCCACCATCCCTCGCCCCTTGCCCCCTAACAGCGATGTGTGCAGCAGCTAATCGGCGGGGCGAACCCTCCTCCTCACGCTTTTCCCCCTCACCCCACCCCACCACCCCTCGCCCCCTCGCCGCCTGTCCCTGGCTCCGTAACAGCGCTGTGTGCAGCAGGCGAACCCCCACCGGCAGGAGGAGGCTGTTGCCACAGTGGTGGGCACACCGTGTCCCTCCTCACACATTTCCCCCTCACCCACCGCACTCCCTCCCCCCTCGTCCCAATTTGCAGCGCTGTGTGCAGCAGCTGATTGGAGGGGCGAACCCCCATCGGCAGGAGGAGGCGTTGAAGAAGTACCGGCCGGCCATCGTGGTGGGCACGCCGGGGCGCATCGCTGAGAGCAGCCGGGCCGGGCGGCTGTCAACCCACTCGTGCCGGTGGCTGGTGCTGGACGAGGCGGACATGCTGCTCTCGCACCGCTTCCGGATGGACATGTTGAGGATTCTGGACCACGTGGGACGGCGAAAGTGAGTGGGTGGGTGAGGCACACCGCAAGTGGGATGGGATGGCTATTGCAGGTGAGTGGCACTCGTGCCGCTGGCTGGTGCTGGGCGAGGCGGACATGCTGCTGTCGCACCGCTTTAGGCTTGACATGCTCCGGATTGTGGACCACGTGGGGCGGCGCAGGTGACTGTGTGGGGAGGTGCATGCTCGTGAGTGGGTGGGGAGGTGCATGCTCGTGAGTGGGTGGGGAGGTGCTGGAGAGTGGGTGGGTGCGGCGAGTGATGGGGGGCGGCATGTGATTCATCCCGTACAAGCACATCATCCATGTGTCTCCTCGTCATCTCATTCCATCGCCACCTCCTCTGCTTCTTGCGCCGCGTTCTCTCCAGGTCCCTTCACCACCCTGCACCTAGCACCACCACTGCCATGGCAGCAGCAGGCAGCAGGGCGGAGAGGCAGCTGGTGATGGTGTCAGCCACGGTGCCCCGGCCCGTGCTGGAGGCCGCCTGCAAGTGGGGCAACCACCCGACGCTCGTCCAGCAGCATGCCGTGCAGCCCATCGACCCCCGCTCTGCTGCTGCTGCTGCTGCTGCTGCTGCTGCTGCCAGCGTGGCAGGCAGTGATTTGCTTCCTGTTCCGGCTGCCACAGCATCAGCAGCGCACGGAGCGCTCGTGATTCCACCGCCTGCAGCAGTGCTGGCAGGAGGGGTGGCAGGAGGGCTGCTGGCGTCGCTAGGAGGCGGTGAGGAGGGGCCGCTGGTGGCTCTGAGGGGCAGCCTGCCGCCCAACCTCGAGCACTGGTGAGCGCTCTCACCCAACCTCGAGCACTGGTGAGCGCTCTCACCCAACCTCGAGCACTGGTGAGCGCTCTCACCCAACCTCGAGCACTGGTGAGCGGCCTTGCCCTACAGCTGCTGAACCATCCCATCTGCCACAGTAGCTGCATAGGCACTTGTGATTCAATCCCTCCCTTGGTGGTGTCTCATGGGTCCACACAAAGCACATGCATCACTGCCCCTGCTCCCTCCCCACTCCTCTTCAACCCTCCTTCACCTCCCCATCATCTCCTATTGCACCCATCTGCTCTCATCCTTCCCATCCTCTCCCTCTCTCCCAACCCCCTCCCCTTTCTCTCCCCACACAGCTACATCGTGCGCCGTGCATCGTGCCCATCCATCTCTTGCCCCCCCTTCTCTCTCCCCATGTTGCTGTGGTGCAGCGCCCATGTCCCATCTCCTATCTCCTGCTCCACACATCTGCCTGCACCCCTGTCCTATCCTCCCCTACTTCCACCACACAGCTACATAGTGGTGAACAGGCGGCACCACGTGGACATCGTGAGGCGCTGCGTGCATGCATTGGAGGCGCGGTCAGCCATGGTGTTTATGAACTTTGGGCGGCGCCTGGTGGACGTGCAGCACAAGCTGGAGGCCAGAGGGCTGTCTGCTGCTGCGCTGCATGGCACCATCTCCAAGCTCGCCCGCACCAACATCATGTCCTCCTTCAGGTGCCCCCCGCCTTCAGGTTCTGCCCTGCTTCAGGTGTCACTTTCTGTCAGGTACCACCTTCCTTCAGGTGCCTCGTTCCTTGAGGTGCCATACTCTTTTGGCTGCAATGCCGTGCAGGCTGGACTCAAGCCTGGTTCTCTGTCTGGCGTGCTTGTCACCTCCTTCACCTGCACAAGTTCACTTCTATTGCAGGATTTCTTTTTCCAGTACTTGGACAGCTTGAATGCAGCGTCTTTGTCAACTCCAGCCGGCCATGTTCCCCCCCCCGCACGCATTCTCTCCTCCGTCTTCCCCTCCTGTCACGCGCACCAAATTCCCCTGCGCTCGCAATTCCCGCAGGGACGGCGGGGTGCGAGTGCTGCTGGCAACGGAGGTGGGTGCACGTGGGCTGGACGTCGTTGCCTGTGACCTCGTTGTGAACCTTGAGGCTCGAGCTGCCCGCCATGCTGCCCCTCCTGCACTCATTCTCCCCTCTCTTTTCCCCTCCCTTTCGCCCCTACCTAATGCTCTCAATTCTCGACTCCCGATGCCGGCAGGGACGGCGGGGTGCGAGTGCTGCTGGCAACAGAGGTGGGTGCACGTGGGCTGGACGTCGTTGCCTGCGACCTCGTGGTCAACCTTGAGCTGCCCGCCTCGCCCGCCCACTACGCGCACCGCGCCGGCCGCACGGGGCGGCTGGGGCGGCGGGGCGTGGTGGTGTCGGTGTGTGAGGAGCGCGAGGAGTTTGTGGTGCTGCGCGTGGCGCGCGAGCTGGGTGTGAAGATGGCGCGCATGGAGGTTGTTGAGGGCAGCCTCGTGCCGTATGAGGGGCGCATGAAGTACTGAGTGACTGTGAGGGGCAGCTCTGCCAGACCCAATTTTAATAGAGTTGGGCTGAGAGAATGCACTTGGAATCTTTTAGAGATTAGACTTGAGAATTGTTTCACAGCGGAAGTTCTGAATGCCTGAGCTGGTGAACGAGAAGAATTAACTTGTAAGTAAAAATATACAAGAGATTTGTAGGTTTAGAAAATACCTCTATGCTGTACCAATCCGCTCAACCGAGCTTATACTGAGTCATCACTCTAAACCATACTTCTACTAAAAAACATTGCGCTCCTTCACAAGTTCATGGAGATAGCTAAGATAGCTAAAGGGTCGGGGGTGACTGTGACTATTGAAGATGATTCATTGCCTCTGGGAAAGAGGATGGATGTGGCGGTTCGGAGACTGAGAGAGGGGGAAGCGCATGCGCTTGAGGCCAGCGTTGTTGACCTCAACTCTTTGCCTGCGCAGCAGCACGGGCACATTGGCCGCAAGGTGGGTTTAGCCGATAGGGAGAGGGAGGAGCAGAAGACGGCGGATTACAAACCTCTGCTGCAGCAGCACCGAGAAGTGCTATTCACCCCCCTCATCGCGGAGACCTGGGGTTGCCTAGGAGGGAGATTTGGGTCGTGACCTGTATGAACGCTACCAGTGGGGGCCATACGTCAGGTCTTTTCACGCTGCGCACAACGTCCACCCAGGTTCCTACGCCTGGTCAGGTCGTGTTGATCCCTTACTCACCCGACGCTCCTGTAGCGCCATCGTCTAGGTCGCACTGCCCTCCCACGTCTCCGTCACATGGCTCAGCACGGTCCTGTCTTTGGTCTCCCGTCGTCGCTCCCCGTTCTCCCTCCCTCGGCAGCACCGCTTGGGTCAAGGGCAAGCAGTGCACTACCCCTCACTCTTCCTCGCTTACTCCCACCACTGTCCCTCTTTAGACCCTGCACATGGACATCCAGGGTCTTGCCCCTATCCCAAGGCAGCGCCGGTAACATTACTTCCTGGTCGATGAGGACGACTTTTCCTGCTATACCAAGGTGTTTCCCTTGCAGTGGAAGGATGACGTGCTTGACGCTCTCATCCCGTTGCTCATATCCGTCCGTGCCTAGCGCGCCGAGCGTGTCCTTCGTCTGCACTCCGACCGTGGTGGCGAGTTTGCCTCCGGTCATCTGAGTTGCTCTTGTCAGGCAGAGGGCATCACACATACCTATACGCTACCAAAGTCACCACAACATAATGGGGTAGCTGAGCGTCGCATCGGCTTGATCATAGAGATCGTTCGTACCTCCATGGTTCATGCTAGTGCCCTCAAGTTTTTGTGGCCGTTTGCAGTCCGCGACGCCATGCGCCAGCTTAACATATGGCCCCGTGTCTCATGGCCACAAGGTTCGCCGACCCTCCCCCTCGGTGCTGTGCCTGCATTTCGTGTTTGGGGCTGCCTTGGTTACGTCCGCAATCTCTCATGTGGCTTCCTTGGTTTCTCTCTTGTCGCTCCTGACTAGTTCTATCACGTCTCCTCTCACTATTACTTTTACTCTTGTGACGTCACCTTTGTCGAGTGTGTCTATTTCTACACTCGCTTCCCACACCGAGGTACCCTGGTTCCCCCCCCTCCCCAGTTCCTCTCTCCCACTCATCCCCCTGGTCCCGCACCGCCGCCTTCTCCTCTACCACCGCGTCTTGCGTGCGGAGAGTCACTCTACACCGGGAGCTGGACTACGGGGGAAAGCACAACTGGTACTAGTGATCGTAGAGTTTGCTCTCGTTCTCTCTACTTGCACATTCACGATGAAAGTTGGCAAGAGTTTCATTAGAGATAGTTGAGAACAGTGATATAATGGAGTGGCAAAGATTGAAGGCACCTAGCAAGCCTAGCAACCAGGCGGGTCGACCGCCAGCGGTTGGGTTTGTGGTCCGCACACCTCTGCAGGACTTAGCCGCCCTGGTTACTCAGTAGGCCGGGCAACGTCCCCGGCCCCGTAGGTCGGCGCCCACAAGTGGGCGCCCTCTGGTCGACGACCTCCTTCGTCGACCACCCGTTTGAAGTCAGCCGCCGGCTTCCCGTCGTCAGCGGCGTCGCAGTGGTCCCTTGCAGGTCGACCAACGTCGTCGACCTGCTCGTCCACGTCTGCGTCGACCACTGCAGATGGTCGGTTGCACATCCCGCGCACCCGACCACGAAGTCGGCTTCGGCCAAGCGAGGGCGGGGCCAACTCCCGTCAACACGCCCCATATGGTGTGTCGGCCCTCCCCTCGGTTGGGTTTGTGGGGGAGACTGATGCCTCTCGCAGCCCGGTCTGTTGGGATGAGCCTCCTGTGTCCCCCTCTTCACGTCCCTGTTGTCACCCGCGTCATCCTCGCAGTCGCCGCAGCTGGACACAGTGGGCACTAGGAGTGCTGACTCTGAGGGTGCTCCTTTTGGGGTTGCTACCGTGGGGGGTGCTGGCTCCTGAGATCCTACTACATGAGGTACTCTTTCTGGGCTGCTGTAAGCATGGGATATTTTCAGCAGTAGTCGCAGCCATTGTAGCAGCACCAGCCGCAGCAGTAGCAGCCGCAGCAGCCGCTGCAGACATCGTAGCCGCCTATGACTACGTCGTCTTCTTGGACTTCCTTCCCTTTTGATTGGCAGCACGCTTCTCTCCTCCTCACCGCCTCTCTCAGTCCACATTTCCTCCCCCGAATCGTCCCCATCTCGTTTCCCTCCTAGTTCACATCTGTCTCCTCCTCTCCTTCTTGACCCGTCTCTTGCCTCTTCCCCCAAATCTCGGCATCCATCTTGCGCTCGCCCCTCTCTCCCATTCCGGGGCTTCACCCTATGAGCCTCCGTTCTCGTCCCCTTCGTGTGCCGCCAACTTCTGTACTCCCGTTGCCTCCTCCATCTTGATTTTTAGTCTCATATCTCCCATCGCCGTTTCCCCCTTTTTGTCCCTCGTCTGCGTCACCGTGCAATCCTTGTGTCGAGGGCATGCAATGAGCCACCCCCCACTCCTCGCTTACTCCCGCCACTGCGCTTCTTCAGACCCTGCATTTGGACGTTTGGGGTCCTGCCCCTGTCCTTAGACCGCGCCGGGAGGACTACTTCCTGGTTCTCTATACCACAACGTTTCCCTTGCAACGGAAGGCCAACTTGCTTGATGCTCTCATCTTGTGGCTCGTAGCCGTCCGCGCCCAATGTGTGCTTGGTCTGCACTCTAACCGTGATGACGAGTCCGCCTCCGATTGTCTGAGTTACTTATGTCAGTCGAATGGCATCACCCAGACATATACGCTACCTGACTTACCACATCATAATGAGGTAGCTAAGCGTCGCATCGGCTTGATAATGGAAATCGCTCGTACCTCCATCGTTCATGCTAGTGCTTCCATTTTCTGTGGCCGTTTACAGTCTGCTACGCCACGCACCTGTCAACGTGAGTAGTGTTTGGCCCCGTCCTCGCTTGGGCGGAGCCGGCCGCGGGGACTGCGGGACCGCGGGAGGGCCGCGGGACCGAGGACCGCGGGGACCGCGGGACCGCGGGAGGACCGCAGGAGGCTGCGGGAGACCGCGGGGCTGCGGGAGGCCGCGGGAAACCACGGTACCACGGGACTGCGGGGACCGCGGTGGCCACGGATGGACGGCCGGGGGCCACGGGGGCCGCGGGATACCCGGTCGACCAAAATACCCGGGCGACGTGTGCGAAAGTCGCCGGGGGTGATTTCTGCGAGGACGACCTCGGGGGTCGTATCCCGAGGTCGACGTGGCTGGTGGGCACCGTCACGGGTGGAGTGTCTGCGCTGGGCGTGTGACGGGGCGTTGGGCGCCAACCAGCTGCACGCACCTGCGAAGCTGGTGCACCGTAGTCAGGCGGGTGCAACGCTGTGCAGCCGACTTGCTGTAGCATTGGCACACCGCGGAGTTGCAATATTGGCAAGCCGCGACTATGCTCTGCTGGATCGCGGTCGACCAAGTCGTGCTGGCACGCGGTCGACCGTGCTGCGCTGGCAGTCGACCAGCAGCCTTGCTAGGTCTGATGTAGTCTGTGTTGCCAATGTTGATGCAATCATTCTGAACTTTTGTTGTCATGTTTTCCTAGTGAAACTCTTGCCAATTTTCCCCGTGAACTAACAAGTAGTGTGAGCACTTGGAAACGACTAAGGAACGAACGAACGCTACGATCACTCTTGCCCCGTGCCTAGCCCGCAGTCTAGCTCCCGTTGCAATAGTTATCTCCGCATGGTTCGGTGAGCGTGGACGACAACGCGAAGACACCTTCGGTCTAGCTGACTTTTCACCCACCTAGCTAGTTCGTAGACCGGCGGCTGTGCTGGACGCCATGGTTGATCCCGTAGTAGAGGCGGGCGTCGTGGACACCCTGGAGGCACGGCTGGAGGACGCGAGGAGACTTCATGCGGCGAACGAGTATGGAACTCTCCCGCTGATGGTTATCGAGGCTGGCATCCGCGCCGTGTGGGCGACGGAGCACCCTTCCCGACCGTCGCCTCCTCGACCGGTGAACAACGCGGGCGGCGTCGACGCGGACGTCAACGCCGGTGGTGGCCAAGTCGGCAGCAGCGCGGGAGGCACGTCGTGGCAGCGAGGTGTGATTCACGCCGATGATGTCGGCGGCTTCAGGCGCGAGGGATGCAGTCATCGGCGGCTGCAGGGGCCCCGCGGGGCTACGTCGGAGGCAGACGAAGTGAATTGGCGCCGATGTCGGCGACACACGTGACCGCGGGAGGAATTGCGCCGAGCTACGGCTACTTCAAGTTTACGCCGGACAGGATCTTGGTCACCCCTCTGCTGGTCGGTCGGCCTGACATCCTCACGTGGAAGGAAGCCATCGAGCCCCAGCTAGAGATGGCCGGGCTGATGGGCTTCGCCCGCAGGACCGTGGCGACGCCGGAGGAGCACTACCCTGACCTGCGAGCGGCGTTTCGCGCCATGCAGCTACTGACATTCACGGTCATCTCGAAGTGCTGCTCGCCGGGCGTACATATCGCCTAGAAATCGTGCAGGGAGTACCTCGACGCCGGCCACC